TTAGATCTCTGAACAACAGAATCGTTTCTTTTCCAACTCTTTTATTCACATGCTGACCACAACAATATTCACGTTTCTTCTCATTAAGATTTTTCTTTTAAAATAATAGTTCCATATATGTTATGTGTTTAGCATACGTGGTAAATGTCTTTTTATTATCTGATCAGGGGACCTCATAAATCCCTCGTTAAAACTTCGGACACGCATACTGATATAGAGATTATATCATTTGTTTTATATGTCTAGCTCTATGACTGGCAATAGGAAACGTTTTCGTGACTTACTGCCAGATCATTCCTATTGTGACCAGAACATAGTGCACGTCTAGTTATTTGCGAATAATGACGTAAGGCGGCGCCATCTTCGTTCCTTTGCTTCGTTTTTATTGGAATAATCATTCCTTTTAATATGTTTATATCGGGTCTCTGATAGATACAGTGTTATATTGTCGTTGCTTTTTATGTATTTTCTACTCACTAAAACGTCGAACATAATGTTTGTGTACAAGGATAGGCACCATTGCTCTATAAAATTCAATGGCAGACATCTAATATACACGGATTGAGGACGAATTCGGAATCATGCTCAACATACAACAGGTCGTTCGGCATTTACAAGAATACCACTGTTTTAAGAGACTGCTTAAAAAGACTCGCAAGTGAATGGTACCAATTAAAATTTTGATTAAGATTATACTAAAGTAAATAGCACCACGCCCGATATGTTGTTCCAGGTGTTGCTAAGGGCCAAATACTGTTCAAATCTAGGACGCCATTCAGGAAATTTAAAATTCGTCGACAGAAATGTTTAAAACCAAATGGTATAATTTTTACATTGCGTTTTTATAATTTATAATTCAAAATAAACTTCTATTGGAAATAAATAGCAAAGTGTATGACTTATTTTGAATTGAAACAACTTTTAAATCTTTTTTCATTTTATTTATTTTTTTTTTTTTTTGAACATCCAAAATACACAATTTACTCTTTCCATGCATTACATTTGTTTCCGCAATTCAACGGACTCAAAAATGAAATTGCTTTGTTGTCTACCATATGAAACGGGGTTTTCCTTACATTAAACACATATATATATATATAATAATTGGTCCAGTACTAAATAAAGTACTCATTAAATGTTAAGAATTTACACAAACCGCGACTGACTCTCAGTTCTACATATTGTAAGCAGCTAAAATTACCAAAATATAAACATTTAATGTTATCTTATAGCTGGAAATGCCAGTGTCTATTTGCGGTCAAACTCATGTGGTTTTCTTTGACAGAAAAAATGTTGACTTTTTCTGTGAAATTTTGTGATCTCATTCTTTTCTTTGTGCGATATAAATCTGGATTTATGTGATACTCGTTACTTGAATGTTGGTTCTGTTGTGTTGTTCCTTGTTTTCAGTTTAGAACGTGACACTTATTTGGACTAACCAAAATTTATATAGCGAGTGTTTTTCATGAACCAAACGACGCTTCCCTTCCAGAACACTTGGTCTTACTCTTCTTGTTCCTCGCGTAAAACTTTACTTTGTTCATATTTTGCCCTAGATTTATTGAATTTGAGTTTTTATTATGATTATGTTGAAATGTTGGGATTTTCTCTTGATTTCTTTTATAAAAAGATAAAGATTACATCATCTTGTTCAAACAGTTTACATTTGGAGAGGAAAACACAGATATATACATTAATATTTACATAGATGTAAAAAAACATGATACCCGTTGTAACACTATCATATCTGTATTCAGTATTTTTATCAACGATAGAGGATATCGGTTTTGTCCTATGAACGGAATAAACCAAAGTCGATGAATGTATCTGTCATTGCAGGATTAAGATTTTTTTTCGCTTTATGACTGGATGGGGTTTCCTGCTTCAGCATTCATGTTGGGATATTTTGATTTGAAGGCTTAATTTGTTGCCAGCACGTAAAACCGCACACAGAATTTGTTTATAGTTTAGTAATACTGAAATAGAAACGGAATGAAATGGACAAAAGTATTATACTCGTGGATTGTACTTAATGTTAAGGCAACATCAAAAGGCATTCATCGAAATAATCAATCATGTTAAGGAATCATATATCGTATATTTATTAAAATCGTTTTATATAATCAGTCAAGCAATTTGACAATTTCTGTCATCATTGAAAATTGAGGACGAACAAATTGTAGGAACAATGACGTGATATTATATAGATTGTAACTCGGGTCGATCATAAAAGCTTGCCACACGAACTATGTTGGTATTCCCAAGACATAGCATGCTAAAAGGTTCACATAGCCTTTGTATTTCTCTATAGAATATAGTCTGGTCAGACTGTTGTTTATTTGAGTTTCGTGACGATAAGCTCTTCTAAGCAAAACGATGCGTCTCTGTTATCAAGAATTAGCTATTGTAATGCATACTCTATGATACTTCAAACAGGTTATTTCCTTTTTCAAGAGATTTTATGGGCCTAATCTTTGAAGATTTAATTAGCGTGTCAGAGTCAGAAAATTTCAATTGAATAACTAATTTCATTTTAATGTACTTTGTCAAATTGATTGTGCATTATTGGGCAAACAACATCAAATGCAGAAATTTCAACTTATATGATCTAGAAGACGATGAATTGAAATGAGAATTTTGAACACCTTTCTATTATCTATTTAAGCTTATTAACCGTCGATATCAATGATAATAATTTGTCTATGCCTGATCCTCTTTTCCTATACGTTGTCAAAGAATAAATATTACCTACCATTACTCAAGACTTGAGACTTTGAATGAGATAAGAGGCAAACCAATAAATCGATGGAAAACCTGTTGTTGTAACAAACCCATAAGTACTTCGTGTGAAATTATCTGATCACAACACACAGGATATGAGTATTAGACAATCCATCTGTCGCTATAGGTCTTTCTGTTAGGTCGGAGAGCACTACAAAATCAGTTGTTCCGTCGAGAACATATAACGAATTTCCTCTTTCCCCTACACAGTTTAAGACGATTTGAGATTTTATTTGATTCATTCCTAGTATACAAGAGAACTTTATTCGCTGTAGGATGACCATACAGTTCCATTAAGCGGCGCTATATAACTATAAACCAAATACAGTTAGTATAAGTTGAGGCTTGGCGAGTAAATTGCTTATACACCCACTGCCTGTCGTTAGACTATGAACAAGAGTATTATCAGCGGAATTGGATATTTACATTTGTATGTTCTCTTGAAAGCATCCATATAAGATCAACACTACAACGATAACATACAATCACGTGCTAACGAATCACAATTTACGAATCTTTTCATTATGAATCAGTTATGATTTTCTTTTAATCCTCGTAATCAAGCGGTTAAATGGATAATCCGTTTTTGTGGAAAAATGTCCTTGCTGTATCTCTCTGCATGTCTGAGGATGAGGCTAATTGTGGGTGCACCACCTGCAGGTCTGTGTTTTCCCAATATTTATCATCATTAAATGCTTCCAGTCATTTTCACTTAATCCGTTTCAACACCAAACTACAATGTAAGAGCTAGAGTCTAGCGTCCTCGCCGCACTTCGTTATGGTACCGGTGAAGTACTTTAGATAAAACAATGACACCGTATCCTCAAAAGTAAACTGAAACCCCCTAAGGCAACACGTATTGTTTGGGAAATGGTATTTTTGTCAAATTCTAGATAGTGGTACAGCGAGAGTAAACAAATGTTTACCTCGAAGTCATAACAGCAATGTAACATGTATGACAAATCGATATAGTATGGATCTGTCAATAATTGAAAACTGAAACATGTTTGATGTTCTATCTTAAACACTATCGTATAGCAAAAACAGACATAATACTGGAAATTATGTAAAATTGATTTTGTACACAATACTGACCCAATAAAAATGTTCTTGGTATTACCTAACACTTCTCAGAAGATATGGTGCTGTGTTCAGTTTTGTTACTGAAGTACGAATTCAGATGTGTTGATTTTAGTAAAAAAAATTGCCATTTTCAACCCTAGGCGTGAGGACTGAGAGGTTTTGATACTATGACATCTTATTCTCGAAGGATTGAGTTTTATAGTCTGACTCCTTCTTCTCGAAGGATTGAGTTTTATAGAATGACTCCTTCTTCTCGAAGGATTGAGTTTGATAGTATGACTCCTTCTTCTCGAAGGATTGAGTTTTATAGAATGACTCCTTCTTCTCGAAGGATTGAGTTTTATAGTATGACTCCTTCTTCTCGAAGGATTGAGTTTTATAGAATGACTCCTTCTTCTCGAAGGATTGAGTTTTATAGTATGACTCCTTCTTCTCGAAGGATTGAGTTTTATAGAATGACTCCTTCTTCTCGAAGGATTGAGTTTATAGTATGACTCCTTCTTCTCGAAGGATTGAGTTTTATAGAATGACTCCTTCTTCTCGAAGGATTGAGTTTTATAGTATGACTCCTTCTTCTCGAAGGATTGAGTTTTATAGTATGACTCATTCTTCTCGAAGAGTTGCGTTTTATAGTATGACTCCTTCTTCTCGAAGGATTGAGTTTTATAGTATGACTCCCTCTTCTCGAAGGATTGAGTTTTATAGAATGACTCCTTCTTCTCGAAGGATTGAGTTTTATAGTATGACTCCTTCTTCTCGAAGGATTGAGTTTGATACTATGACTCCTTCTTCTCGAAGAGTTGAGTTTTATAGTATGACTCCTTCTTCTCGAAGGATTGAGTTTTATAGTATGACTCATTCTTCTCGAAGAGTTTAGTTTTATAGTATGACTCCTTCTTCTCGAAGGATTGAGTTTTATAGTATGACTCCCTCTTCTCGAAGAGTTGAGTTTTATAGAATGACTCCTTCTTCTCGAAGAGTTTAGTTTTATAGTATGACTCCCTCTTCTCGAAGAGTTGAGTTTTATAGTATGACTCCTTCTTCTCGAAGGATTGAGTTTTATAGTATGACTCCTTCTTCTCGAAGAGTTTAGTTTTATAGTATGACTCCTTCTTCTCGAAGGATTGAGTTTTATACTATGACATCTTATTCTCGAAGGATTGAGTTTTATAGTATGACTCCTTCTTCTCGAAGGATTGAGTTTTATAGTATGACTCCTTCTTCTCGAAGAGTTTAGTTTTATAGTATGACTCCTTCTTCTCGAAGGATTGAGTTTTATAGAATGACTCCTTCTTCTCGAAGGATTGAGTTTTATAGTATGACTCCTTCTTCTCGAAGAGTTTAGTTTTATAGTATGACTCCTTCTTCTCGAAGGATTGAGTTTTATAGTATGACTCCTTCTTCTCGAAGGATTGAGTTTTATAGTATGACTCCTTCTTCTCGAAGGATTGAGTTTTATAGTATGACTCCTTCTTCTCGAAGGATTGAGTTTTATAGTATGACTCCTTCTTCTCGAAGAGTTGAGTTTTATAGTATGACTTTTCCTCCCCGGAGGGTAGAGTTTGAGGGCTAACAATGATAACAGAATAACGTCCAGTATATATCTGTATTTTTAACTACGCTACTGTTAGAATGAAACAAAGAAAGAACATAGATTCTTACAACAGGTAGAAAATTGGAGTGACTGTATTATAAGAATTTACATTCTACTGTCATTATTAACTTGAAAAAAATGTTCTGAAAAACATAGCAGTAGATACAGAAAGCCAAATAATGAAGAAAACTCCAACATGCATCTGCTTCGTCCTTCATGGACTCGTCAATGACAAAACATTACTTAAGTTGGTATGAAATAAAAATAATTTACTAAACTCACTGAGATATTGTATCCCTCTTTTTCAAATGACCGTAAAGATCCATTGACCTTTGGTTTTTATATCAACGAACTGTACAGTGTTTGTAATATTGCTGGGGTAGTCGTGAAAGGTTACAGATCACTTTTACAGTGTTTTCTTCGGCTTCTCACACTGTAATCCATCCTCAATTACTTGTTAATGATGGTTGTCTGCTGTTTTCGGCTGGTTCTGTCGAGAAACCCTAGTTTACTGTAGCATTTTTTAGTAGTGGATGGTCATGATGAATACTTATCTTAGTTATATTTGGAGGCAAATAACTAAAGAACGCTTCAGGGCCTATATCTGTAGACAAATATCATTTTGTCACATCGTTAGCGTACAATTAGTCGTCTCTATGCACTGAATATTGAAGTTCAGGTTCCTGTGGATAGGTCACGTGACCTGGAAATTGAACAACATGAGCACAGCTGATAAACGTTAACCGGCGTCACTGTTTCCCATATATCACAGGACATAATTTCTAATTACCATATTAGATAATCAAAAATAATGTAGAGCCATATCTAAGATAATATTCACAATATACTCACACAGGTTTCAGATAGTGGCATCTTTTTCAGCGAATGAACACATCTTGACATTATAACCGAAGAATCTTAAAACGCCCTCATATCATTGTTCTTGTCGTTGAATGCAGTTTCCATTAAAATGTCCTGTTTAATCACGCATATACCGGAAAATAATGTGACAGCACACTTTTCTTTATACCGTTATTTTGCTCCCAACTTTTGAAATATTTCAGTGCTTTCAATGCATTTCAATGCAACAGTAACTATAAACCATGTCGAAAAATGAGCATCGGTGTAATTCATTATGGCATCATACAATTACGATAAATGCTGTTTTGCATTGCTGTAATGTTATTTCCAATCCATGAACACGATTTTTTTACCTTATCAGCATACTTGTAAGATCAGTTATTTCAAATCATGGAATGCCGATGTTGGTTTAGATTTTTCAACTTGATGCATTTAATGTATTTAATGGTGCAAGCTGAAGGTGCATCTACATTTAACATTACACAGAAGTAATGCCAATACTATCATTACTAATGACACCTCACAAATTAGTAAAAACACAGAAAAAATACACCATAATAAACTGACATGTCAGCGGGTGCAGATTACGAACGGCTGCTGGAAACAAAGTGACGTCATTGGAGTGTTAAATTTGCAACAATGAAACTTTTCATGCAAACACTAATGAGCTGCGGTCTTGGAAGCAACGTGAACGCCTAGGCGTACTTACCTCCAGCGCTTCATCCTCGGTCAACTCGAATTTCTATGTTTTATTGACCACGTAAACATGTGGTGACCCACTCCAGGCTGATTATCCATTACTACGTTCTTGTTATTACTAGCGAGCAACCGCTGCTTTCAAGTGCTTTGTCCGATTTTGGTGGTTCTATTGAACAATCTCTGCTTTCATTTTGGTTCTTCACAAAGCGAAAAATGTTCAAAGTTTCAAATTGCATTAATTTCTGAACTTCCGTTTGAGTTTTCGAATGCCTTTGTAGTAACTTATTTATCTATTAACTAGGCAACCCCTATCCCCTGATTGGACGTGAAGATACTTGAGTTCACCAATTGGACGAGCTGTGTTTTCAGCATGTATTCTGATTTGCGTCAATTGTGAATACCCTCGAGAGCTTCAATCTTGGTTAAAAGAATTATTTATATAAAGTATGAGCTTGATTCACTGGTGTAAAATACATGAAGTTATTAAAATGTTTCTTGAATTTTTAGGACTTCGAATTGGTCGTAACAAGAATGTAGGAAAGAAGTCAGGATAAACTGTAAAAGTATAAGTAAGAGTGCTTATGCAGTTGTCAGTTTCAGGTGACTATCTAATGAATTACATGTGAGTGACGGATCGAAATATAACGGTACTCTCCCTAACATCGAAATATAACGGTACTCTCCCTAACATCGAAATATAACGGTACTCTCCCTAACATCGAAATATAACGGTACTCTCCCTAACATCGAAATATTATACTATTTAATTATCTCTTTTTCCACAGGTACTTTACTGCGTGGTCAGTCCCGAATAATATTTGTTTTTAAATAAGATACCATAAAAAGCAGTTATAATAAGGGAAAACGTCAAACGTCCATGCTATTACATTCAGAGTCTTGAAACGGACGATTTACTACTACTATTTACAGCGATTTGTTATCAAGTGATGCATAGTATTAACCAAAAGCAATTCAATGTAACATTTTTGTATGCAAATCAGAAACGGGGCATTTTTCCTGTATCTGTATAATTCAGTTTTTATGAATTGTTTGGTTATTCTGTGTCTAATTTTAATGATAAATTATTTCAGTTTCATTTTGAAGATCTTCTTACAAAGGTAGACAAGATTTCTTCATTGTCATTAGAGGCAAAACTAAGCTACAGGAATAGGACCTGCATTTTTTATGACGTCGTTAAAATCAATTTATAACGGAAACAATCGGAATAGATCATTCGGTGATACGACAATACAAAGACTTGGCTATGATTTCTACATAACACTTTCGATTTTTAAATTTCCTTGCCTTCAGCTCCTTCATTTGCCGTTTTGTTTTACCTCCCCAGAGCTTCCTTTCCAGATTTGTATTATCTTTTGCTGGTTACTATCCTACAACAAGCAATATATCATGTTCATTATTCAATGATTGGTAAGATATAAAGGTCACCTTTCTCTTGTCAGAACAAACTGGTGCCATGCTGCTAAACTACTCTTGTAAAATGACATCTACTTACGTAATTAGGAAAATAATGCAAGTTTAGTGACACGGATACACAATTGTCACCAATGTCCTGGAGCTATATGACATCAAAGAAATATAGCTTAGAATTGACAAAAAAAAATTCATCTGACTTCTACTTTGTTATCAATCGTTAGCGCTAATCAGAATAACGTCTACATATGGAACGTCTTTACGCAATCAGTGGTATCCGTGTTTACTTAATGTTAAATGGCTCTCATAACGTCAGCCACAGAAATAAAGTGAAACACTCCACTTGTTTTCTTATCTACTAAAAGTAAACTGAAAGTTAGTGCTTAATATACATAAAAGGGCTTGTCCTCTTTGATGCTATAAATAATAAATTAATAATAAAAAATCCTAATATTGCTTACACTGTATCTTATAAATATGTACACCATACAAACAACTGGAAGCTTCTTTGAGTATAACATATTAATCATGATTCCAACTCATCCATTAAAAGTCACAATATGACGAAAATGTACAATGAATAAGACCAGATGCAATGCCTAAATTGATATCATATGTAAGCAAATGTTATTTCATTTCATAGATGTTCTATTCTTATCTTAAAAACGCGGTCACGGACCAGATGTTAAATGCAAAATTCTAAAATTAATTTGAGGTCAAATGTGACGTAAACGTTTCGGAAGAAAATGTATTCTGTTTTTCAATACCAATATTTTTTCTCTGTAAATTATGTTTCTCCAAAAAAACAAAATATCTCACTGCTAGCCTTAGGTTGGAAAAATGATTACATCAAATATCATTGACAAACCAGAGAAAGAGGCTTATATGCGACTAATGCTTTACATTTGACGTTTTATTGTTGGCATGTAAATCAATGCAAGTACGTTTTATTTTATCTTTTTACTTGGTAAGACTTTTGTACTACGGTCAACAAACCAGTAAATCTGCTAATGTCTCTTCTTAGTTATTCTTTGCGTAGGAAGCTGTATTTTTGGTTTGAAAAAAATGTAAGCTGGTTGCCATAACAACACAACAGCTGCTGACCTAAATATTTACTCCTTAGCGCTAGGTTCATGGTTATGAAATAAATCTAACACATTTCATCACCAAATTGAATTGAAATCAGCAGATGTTATGAAATTTGTAATCTTCATACAGGCTGTTTTGTTCTTTCATATATATTGCGGGAGTCGTTGATGAAGCGGACGACGTTCACACTTACGGAACATCATATCTTCTTCTCATCATACTTTTCAAGAGTCTCCATGTTACTTTTTCATCTGTTAAACTTTCCTAGGATTTACATTTGGATATTAATTCTCTTCAGATGTTGGTATTTCCTATATACAAATGTAATGTAATTTTATGTCATTTCCTGATTAATCTAGTATACAACCTGCTCGTGTGATTTGTCTCCTTGGCAACTATATCGTTCGGCTGAAGATAAGTAGGCGGAATTTAATTAATCAGATTACAGAAAACGTAGTAGCGTTCTACACGTCGGTTTTGTTATACATGTATTATTACCATCAATACATTGCATGTCAGAATCACATTTCAACGCGACTTCAACGCCCACGTGTTATAATTAGCTAGCAAAAGATTCCTTTTGAGCAGTAAACACGAAAAGTAATCTTTCTAGTATAACTTCCTGATTTCAATATGATAATACCTATCCATGTTTGGTAAATAGCGTTTTAAACAAAATTGGCTACACAATTTCACCGAAAACTATTCATTGAAGATTATGTTGGACAAATGTATCAAGATAAGGGAATCTCATCAAATATTTAGTATTTACATAATTTCACGTTTTTTAATTAGCAGAACATGAAAGCTAGATATTATATGGTCGTATTTCACTTCATGATAACAATATTTAATGATATGCACAGGAATTCAATTATTTTTGAAGATCATATATGGTTTAGGATATTCGTATCAGCAAGTCTGTTCGAATCGCATCATGCGACATATATGACCACGTGTTGAGAAGCAGGATGCTTAGCTGTGATGTTAAGCATGTATATACCGCGTCAATTCATAGCATACAACATCAATCAACATTAAGTCAATTCTAGACTTTACTGGGCCACTCTGTAGACTCACGATCAAAAATATCAACCATTCGCTTGTTTTCGTTCAACGTTCTCAAATATCATTATTAATATATATTTAATAATGACAAGGAAAATATTTCTATTGATTGATGGTCCCATATCAACGAATTATTAAGACGCAACGACAATTCGAGCGTCTTGTTGTCATGGTAGGTTGCAATAAGGCAGTACGGCCTCATCAATTTACTTTCTATGAGAAAATTTGTATTCGTTGGAAATGAAGCGAAAAAGCATTTCTTCTTTAAAGGTAATCAGTTGCTTTACTATTCACTTTGCCTGAAATATCGTGGTATATGAACGAGAGAGTACTAATCTTATGTTTTTACACCAGGTCGTGTAAGTTTGTGGTAAATATAGACTAATGTATAAAGGTATCAACACCATATCTGTATTGAATGGCTTGTTATTGAAGTTTCCATCGGATCAGATGAAAAATAAAAAAGATATATGGAATGCTAATAAAGATCCGTTTCAGTAGTACAAAAGCAGCTGGAACCAATGACTAATGGATACGCTTTGTAATGCAACCATACACCCACCTGTTAGATTTATTCATGACCATTCACATTTCCATATTTTTTCCTTGATCCATAGTTTTTGCAGGAATTTCACTGATGTTTGGCAGTGTTGTAACAAAGAGCATTTCAGAATTTCTTTATTCTGTTGATCCTTTGAGAAACAGTCTTTTTCCCTCCTGCGATATGATGTTTCATTTTTTGTTAGTAAGGCTGTTAGTTTCTTCCTTGTTAATTGCCTTTTTCAGATGAGATCATGTCAATAATTGTATGTACTTGGACTGACCAAAAATTTATTAACTGGTGCTGTCGATTAAATAAACATTTACTCTTTAGGAAAACTTGGTTTTATATTACTCGAACTTAAGCGAAAGTCTCTGTGTACACTCTTTTTGTTCATAAATCTGGTGAATCTCATCGATTTCGAATTAAGACGTTATTAACATGTCGGTTTTTTCTTGATGCTAGTGACACTCTTCAGTTGCTGATGTTTCTAATCCATAGCAAATAACAACAAACTCCAACTAGTAGTTTTACAAATCCGAAGATACGAGCGAATATCATCCTATATACCAGCTTGCATAATACGGGAAATTTCAAGCATTATACAAGTGACTCCTTGGTGAATATCGATTTGGAGAAAGAATTTAGTAGTACACGGCGTAGATTTTGGAATAATAACTAAGTATATAAGGTGCAGTGATTGGGTCCTCATAGCATGCTCATAGTAGAAACAAGCGAAATGATCTTGCGGAGGACATATAATAAAAACAACAGCACTGTCTTAACACAGAGACAAAAGCTAAGTTGCACCAAATTTAGCTAAATTTATTACTAATAAAAGAATGGTCTTTTTATCATCATTTTGTTCCTACTGTTTTTCTTTCTCTCTTGTGTC